TGGACGGCATCTATGTCAGCGAAGACAATGGCACACTGATTGGTGCCGGAAAAGAAGCGTTTCTCTGATATTTGCCCATCAGTCTCGTGTGCTCAAGGCTTATATATCTACAGCTGAAAGCTTACCCCCTGAAACGCCAATGCCTGCAACTATCACCATAACTCCGCCCGTGATAGTTGAAGCGATCAAGACAACGATAAGAAAGATGAGCATCCTTTTGGATCGCCCATACATGGCATGTATGCGAGTCATCATGACCACTTGCATGATGGTCAATATTAGTAGGATACCGCAGCTGAACAACTCACCGCCCAGCATTGCATTGACGACGACAGTCATCCATACCAGCGTAAACCAAAGGACGGCGCCTGAAAACACGGGTTACTCGGAGGACTCGATAATTCAAATGAACGTACAACTGATGTGCTTATCACATCTGATCAACAAGCCGCCAGAAAATGATACTCACCCCTGTATGGGGCTTGAATGAGCAAAAGGGGATGCCGGGCATCATACAGAATACCCACTGCATTTGTCATTGATACTGAATTGAGATACCCTATATGCCACCGGTCAGAAGACTGGGACACGGACACAGTATATTTTGAGATACATACACAGCATGTTGATGCTGATTGCGAGATATAGTTTATTAGCACGGTGCAGTGCCACCTAATAAATAATCTTGCAAACTGTACGTACACGCAATATAGTAGTCCAATGTAGCGCACCTAGCGTATTCAAATTGAAGTCAGCACAACTTGTCGACTACGCTCATAGCATAACCTACACAGATATATAGACCAGTCATAAGGGACCAGTGTTGCGTCTTCTTCATTATCTTCCTGTGTTTCTGATATAGGACTTTTGCTCACCCAGACCAGTTCGACCTGTTACAACATGCTGAGCGGCTTCGCTGATAAAACACGTTGACTTGCTACCTCTTGTCCTAATGCTAAAGCTTGAACATACATCCGCATTTATCAATATAAAGTTCTTTCGGAAAGAATGATCTCGCTCACCCCAGTCGTATGCCACCGCAGCGGAGGATGCAACTGCGAAACCAGTCAAAGATGGAGTGAGATATATGGCGCATCCGCCTTGCTCAGGTTCTTCACGAACCTAAAAAGTAGCTGGAAATACGGTTCCAGTCGAGAAATGGCCACCAATAGGGATCATGTGAGATGTAGGACATAGTAGTGGTCAGTGAACTTCAAAGGCGGAGATGATCGATGATATCCCATCACATCTTGTTGTTGCACTTATCAAGGTTATCATTGGGCGCAGACTGAGCACAGCAACCAATGATATCAAATTACAGCGGGCCTGGTACCTTGAAGTATGAGTACTTGAGTTGGAACAGGTAGTAGACTGGCCGGAAGGAAAATCGCCTCCGGCTTTACGATATATCATGTAATTCGGCCTTGGCCGCGGCGCATACTAGTGGCTGCACGACTGCTAGGTGAAAACACCGTGATCTGTCACTTTGGTGGGTTTCGAGGTCCGAAACGGCGACTGACTGGCGACAGCGGAGAACCACCTAACATGATGGAGCTGAATTACTGATAAATACTTTTATAGAGGGGATATATCTGAGGCATGGACTTCGACACTGAGCTTTGCATGCTCTTTGGCAGCAGGTTTGACGCTTTCGAATTTGCTTTTCGAGTGCTGGACTCAGACATCGCCAGTTTATGCCCACTGCCCACTACTAATCACACGCCACTAGTCCCTGGCTAACCTCCAATCGTGCATACAGGTCTGAGCCCTCTGCTGTGCCCCTTAATTGCAGCTCTTCGCCATCATATTCCAACGGATCAGCGAAACTCAACAGCGCCGGTGCACAGCTATGGTATCAGAGTATCATTTTGCACACTGGCCCTATTTATATTTGATCTCCTGTGCCTTTCGGACATTCTATGCGGGAGCTACACAGACATTGGCGCAACCTCATGCTTGCTTCAACCATGCGTCTCTTATTAAGAGAAATATATCAATTTCATGTACATGGACGGAACGAGCTATCTAACATATATAAGCATGATGCGCAAACACAGATGAAAGGGAAGAGAAATGTTTAAGTAACAAAGTTTCAAAATGATTTCATGACTGACGGGAAGTGGAATGACGACTCAAGTAAAATCCGCAGCAGGAAACTTCGTAGGAAACTTCTCCCCTCCCACCGGTTGACTGGTCTGTTTCTGTTGGTCGTGCTTGAGACCCTTGTGCCCCTGCTTGAGACCCCTGTGCAGCTGCTACGGGTTGACCCGGTTGCGTTGAACTGTTGGTTTGGTTGCCGTTTGCACGTTGCATAGCTGCCTCCACTTCTGCCTTGCTGGGAGGGGCAATGGCGTATCTCTGTAATTGTGTTTTGAATGTTATTATTAAAGAATAGCAATTATGATTGCGAGTCACACTCACATCTTTTTTGCGGCCAGGAGCTACTTCAATGGTGCGGGTGAAATTTCCTACGGGAAATAAGTTGAAATTCCAATTCCGGGACTCGCGAGGTGATGGTGGGGGCGCATCTGTAGATTGAGCACTGAACCGGAGAGTACCAAGCACACGGCGCTAGCGAATGAGAGACAATAAGCTATCCGATGGAGCTGCACGACGAGGCGCATGATCTAACTTGTTGCCAAAGAAATCATTGCCCTGTATCGAAGTCACATTAGCAGGAGCTGAAGGACGAAAAAAAAATTACTGACATATTTCGCCGAGCCTCTGTTATTGGCCTATTGTTTGAAATGCAGATGGGCATTAAGGATCAAACGAAACATATGAGACAAGGTGAGGTTGCTCACGAATGGCGGGCGCACAACTCTCGGTTGGGCTGGACGTCTCTGGTAAAAGGTGAGATCTAGTGTGAAAGAGGAGCAGAGAAGACTTGCCTTCAGCTTGACATCCCCATCATTCACATCCTAAATGGCCAGAAACATTAGGAAGGAAAACTGGATTACAAAGCGTATACGTACCACAACGTTTTGGAGTGCCGCCTCCAGGCTCCATACATATATTTTTTTATCTAGTCCAGCACTGGCAATGTATCTTCCATCGCGGGACATTTCCACAGCGAAGACTTGGTCATCATGCAAGAGTGGATCTCCGACTGCCTGATTGGTCTTGAGATCCCAGATGCGAATGGAGTAGTCACTTGATCCGCTAACAATATAGCTTTCATTGGGAGTGAGACACAAGGATCCGACGACATGGGTATGACCCCGAAGAACAACGAGTTCCTGCCCATCCATAACCTGCCATTTTCGGATGGTGTTATCGCCCGACCCGGAGAATATGTGTGCGCCGTCCTTGGACCAACACAACGACGTCACCACATCGTCCGCGTCATGTCCCATGATCTTGATAAGTAGCTTGCCGTCCCTGGACCACATGCAAATTGCGCTGTCTCCGCCGCCGCTCATGAATTTATCGTCTTGTGGAGAGTACTTGACGGCATAAACCCATCCGTGACTGGTCTGTATGGGTGGTGCTATTTGTCGACCAGTATTCGGGTTCCAGCGTCGTATGGTGCCATCTTCCGATCCACTTGCTATCTCCTGTGAATTGCGAGACCAATCAAGGCACCTCACTGCATTAGTATGCCCCTCCCATGGGTCGCCGATCATGCAGCCCTCCTTGATATTCCACAGCCGCAGTCTGCCGTCTGTACTTCCACAAATTACCATCGTTTCATCTGGGGATACTACCATCGAAACTATCCCTCCCCCATTGTTATTTAAAGGTTTTCCTACTGGCTCTCCGTCTCTTTTCCACTGACGAATAGAACTATCATCAGACGCGTTCATTATATTGCCACTGGTGCCCAAGTAGGCAAGGCTCCATATGCATCCGGAGTGATCCTCGATAACGCACTCCGGCATCAAGCTTCCTGCCGGATGTTCTGGCTTTGGTTTCTTCCACGAAGTGGTCCGAGTATTGTGGTTGACGAAGTAGGACCGACCGAGTGGTGAAATGTGCCACTCCCATCCGGGAACAACGAGATCTCCAGGACAATCTAGGTTCAACCGTGAGTTCGTTGCTCCTTGTCGCAATCACTTCCTTCACCTAGTCGCACTCCTGGTAGAGGCCGATTCCACGAGGTTATCTTGAACGTGTCATCTTGATATCGTGATTCATCATCCGACGACGTTTTAAACTGTTGCCACATAGGAGGAAGCACATCATTCCCGCCTGGTTCTAATTGAGTAAGTTGGTGGGTTTCATAAAGTGGCTGCTCGCCTTCCCAAAGTGCGTCTTGGCGGTGCTGTGCACCATATGGTGGTGGATCCTTCGCGCTCATCTGGAGAGTGCTGGTAGGTTGAGTGACACTTGTCCTTGTGCTTCCCTTCATTTTGATGATGTGCTTAACTCACCGACTTCGCTAAGCTTGACTCTGATCAAGAAAGGACACTGCGCTTCGAGACGGTTGGTGAATGAGGTATAATCTAAGCTTGATAAGGGGTGAAAGCGATAGTCAAGGGTGAGAAGATATTCGGATGGAGCTGAGTTTATGCTGAGCGCCTGTCTTACACTGCATGTCAATGGCAGTGTTGCTGTTGAAAGTGACCTCAGTTTGTTCCGTCTCGTTCCTTGTGCACTCTACATGATTGCATAATGGCGCGCAACAACACTACAAGCCAAGTTATCGATGCACTCCTTATGAGCATTCGACGGCCAGTTCTGAACCCCTCTTGTAATGACACCAAAGTAGGCCGCGCAGAGTTGGCGGTCGCAGACACGTTGACATTGAGTATCAAGTTCTCTGCGCTGAAGTCCATAAAGTGATGAATTCGCCAAGTAATACCGCTAGGTCAGTTACCTTGTGCATGAGTGGCCGAGTGTGGTACAACCTAGTAATGGTTATAAAGTGGTGTTGCGGCAAGGGCCTTACTTTAGGATTTTGCCGCATCACTGCCACATCCGTGCCCCATCCGTGCCGCTTGGTAAGCAGATCATTGTTCGCTACGAATTCCAAAATTATGACCACCATTCCTTCATTTCGAAAAAACCTGTGATCACGGCATTACCTACCTTCAGCGCGTGAGCTCATGCACAGTATAGTCGTTTAATCGACAACGCCATTGTCAACCAAGTACATTCACAATGTGGCTTTGAAACAAACAGCGATCCAACTTGTTCCAGATGAGTCGGCGCCAGAGCCTCACGATGTGCCAAAGAAAGACCATCCAACTATCATGCATAGAATGACAAGGCAACCTTCTACTTGACCACCCCAACCAGAACATCCTGTGCGGTCTCTAAAGTGAGTTGACACTGATATAGTTCGCACTCAATCTCATAATGCGGGTATTTGAAGAGAGCGGTGCTCCCTGAGCTATCGAGTTTGAGTTCAATGAAAAGTTTTACACTAAGCGAACGCTCTCGCAAGCGGAATTTGACCACCGGTTTCAGACGGTGACCAAAGCTGCGTCGAGAAACACTTGGTTGTGGAGAATGATGATGCCTCCTCCTCCACCTAAGCCCCTGCCCGCTCTACTCTCTCGAGGTCAGAATTACTAGGATCGCCTTGGTTCACGGCAGCCGACGTAGGTGTTGTGGAAGATTGGAGCCATTTGAACAAACAAAGGCGGCGCACGAGGAAGGAAAAGGTGGGGTGTGATCTGACGTGGATATGGACGCTGCGGGCTACGAAGAGGGAAGCTGTACGAGAAGCACTGCATCTCAGTGCTCTAGCTTCATAGTCAATAACATGATGCAGAACAATTCATTATTGTCTTCGCACTTTATGTCGATGCCATTATGTTCTGTCTGATTTATTTTGGATCAGCGTAAGGGCTTGTCTCTTTTCAATTTGACCTCTCTGACAGGTGAAGTGTATTCGTTGCCTCATACATTCACTAGCCGCCATAATTGCTCCAGAAAGTCTGTCATTGGTCCTCTTTATCGAGCTCGTACGTCTTCTCAGTTGCGCTATCTCTTGAATATGCGTCGTTCTATCAGGTCCATACGCTTTTGGTTTCCTCTTCAGCCAAGTCTGCACGACCGGCCATAACAGAGAATCTGCGACCAATGAGACTCGATTATCCTGGATTTGACTTCATATCCGACCAGTGCGCACTGCCCATCCGTTCATCAGTTGATTCTGTTCACAGGCTCACCACCCACATGCACACTCCATCTGTTACACATGATGTCACTTCCGATGTCCTGGGCCGAAGGTGCTGTCTTGGCAAGTTGGGGAATTGACTTCGTAAGCAGACTCGGAGAGTTGAACGTTCCGTTGAGAACGTTGAAATCTCTGATCCTTGCGGCCTCCACGCATCCCATCACGCTGATCGTATGGTGCAAAGCAAAAAAAATTCAATTTTCCCAGGCGCGTGGCGCAGTGCGCAAAAGTCGACGTTCTTCTCGGCAGTCTGCTTCTTTATTGTCTGATGTCGCAAAAGTTATCCTGGTCATCGAACATCTCCTTAATGGACGATCTGTTCTCTGCCCTGTACAACTAAGGGTAATCTATTGTAGTGAAGCACGTTGCTTCGTCAGAGCTCTCCGCGAGCTGAGCGTGATATTCTCGAATGCTAAGGATGAGACGCGGTCCTAGCACAAACATCTGCATGGCCTGGGCAACTTCGCTAATACCGTAATAAAAACTGACTCCCACAGAGGAGGACTTTAAAAATGATGAGCAAGCAGTATGCAGGTAATAGGGAGCAGTCGGTTCACCGAGAGACTTGGAGACAGCGTGCCGAGGTTGATGCAAGACCCAGCAGCAAAGCTAGTACATCCATAACTTCAGTAAGGCAATAATATCAAGATCGCTTGAACTCACGCTACAAAGTACAGCATATGACCCCTCATTAAAACCATGAAACATTCTCTAATGTTCGCCCCTGCCTGTGATGTTTTCAGTTCGCAGAAGTGTTTGATGACAATCCAGACTGCAAGACACAAGGCAAGGATCTCCCATACAGTGGTGGGTACCGTGGTCTCTGCATTCAGACGCGTGTCTTCTGCGCTCATATTTTCGGAACACTGACGGTTGCCAGAAAGGATGTTCTCCACTAATATTTGTGCATGAGTTCTGAGGATTTCATTCATGATTTAAGCTTACCTCCTGAAACACCGATGTTCCCTATCACCGTCATAACTACGGAGGTGATCGTACAAGCCAGTAAGACCACAATGAGAAAGATGAGTATCCTTTTGGATCCCTGGTACATAGCATGTATCCGAGTTGACATGATGACTTGCAAAATTTTCAGTCGTGTTGATATCACTAGGGGCCACACTCACCTCCCAGCATGGCATTAATTATCAGAGGCATCCATGCCAACATGAACCACAGAATGTTGCCTGAAAACCCAGTCATTGGTGTGCGTTGTTTAAATAGATACTTCGAATCAACTCACAGCTGTTGAAGTCGTTAACTTGAAGATAAAAGCTGGTGAGATATCACTCACCCCTATGTAGGAGCGCAATTAGTAGTTGAATGGGAATGGCAGACATCGGCGAAGAATACCCACTGGATCTGTAATCGAGACTTGGAAATTTGCTGCATGCCATCAGTTAGAAGAAACGAACATATATGAGCACACATACCCAGTATATAGAAGCTGATTGTGAAAGATGACTTGTTAACACAGTACACTGGCGACTGGCTAGCGTTGAAAACATACATCGAAATTAGCATTCCACTGTAGCGAACCTAACATGTGGTAAAATCAGCTTGACAGCTGCATTCATGACATTAAATACGTACGCAAACATAAATAACATTCATGAGGGAGCAGCGTCGCCTCTGGCCCAAAACAACTGTATTACCCCAGTGTTTGATTCTAATATAGTACTTTGCTCACCAATATTAGTTCGAACTATTAAATCAATCTTAGTGAGATGGCTGCACCAGTGATGGCACAAACTTGCCTCTTGTGCAAACGTAAGTACTTGAAAGCATATTTAGATCAACGGTCCCCCTCTGGAAGTATTATCTTGCTCACCCCAATCATATACCACTATGGTCAAGGACGCAACTGCGAAACCGCAGTCAATGACAGTGAGATATCACTAACATCATGGAACGAACCTATAAAATAGTTGTACCTACGACTCCATTCGAGGTGAGGCCAATTAGAGGGATCGTTCGATATGTAGGTCATGTTGGGATCAGGGGACTTTGTGTACGATGGCGTTTGTATACGTACAGGCGTATATTATCCAGTGCTTTTATAGTGATATACAGCAAGGATTGTTGTATAAAATCAACTAGAAAGGAAACATGTTTTAAGAAGCCGCATCTGATGATCCTGATCGATCACACAGGACTCATCTTTATTCAAATTGTCTAGCCTATTCAGATGGTTGTGCTCAGGCCGTGTCTCAAGATCTGATCCTCGGAATTTCAGAATATCACGCTGAACTCGTGGCTGGCTCTGATGGGGGTACTGGTACGAGTTCAATTGCTTTTCGCGGGAGCGTGGACAGGTCCCAACAGGTGACAGCCTGAGTGTGAAATGATCGAAGCAATCTGCTGTAGAGGATAGCATTTGTTCTGGGCAACCCAATCCACTACAAAGGCTTGTCACCAATTAGTACTCACAGCCTGTGGTAACCTACCATGTGGTGCTCGATTTCAGGGCGTTCATTGAGGTCATGTGGGCGACTCTAATATAGTTGTCCACGTTTCCATCTAACCTAAGTCATCATCTCAGAATGAATCCCACACACTAAATATTACTGGTTACTCCCCTTTACTCCCCCTTTCAGATATTGGACACTGGGGCGATTGCGGACCTCCAGCAACCTTCTGAAGCCACGAACACGGCAGGACCTCACCGAAATGCACCCAACAAATCCTCTGGTATCCTCGAGCCCTTGAGCGCTGCTACATTGGGTCCACTGGGTTAAATACCAACCAGTAAACTCCACAACGATCAATATCTCCTTTTGATCATCGTCGTCGAGAGAACGAGAATGAGAGGCATGTCCCGTATAATGCCATGGAGCGTGTAATCTGAAGTCTGCAGCCACATTAGAGATGACCCAACACCACCCATCAATCCTGACTTACTTGTTGGATCGAAACCTTGTGGGTCCACAAGATAATACGAAGCTGTATCGTGTTGTGGACACATGAACAACTTTGACGAGAAAGAGGCAAGTCCTTCAATTTTGTGACTTGCTGCAAGATCGGAAACCTCACTATTGAGGACTGAATGGATGGGTGCTTGTTTTCATGTCCGCATGTGTGAAATTCTTGTCCTGTTGCACAAAGTCAGTCTTGAGTACCTAGCAATGTGTCGTGCCCGCTATCATCATGAGATAAGATGATGAGCGCCCACGGCACATTGTGAGCGTGCGACCTCGAGATCTAGAGTCTAGACTTAGCATTTAAGGAGTTAGAGCTTGAGGTAGACGTCCGGGTTATTTGGAGAAAACAGGACGAATGTGGAAGATTCCGAAAGTCTTGACTCACGTGTTTGTGGCGGTTCAAAAATAGTAGGTTGAAAATTCAATTACATAAATCATTTTCGAGTTGTATACACATCTGTACGCCTTGAAAGTCATATCGCACAAGATTCTCACTCAGGCTCACCATGGTCTACCAGAGGATCAGTCCTGATTGAAAAGAAAGAGCACTGTACCTGCTTTTGGAGGAAGGATGGGAGATCAAGCGCATTGCTGCTGTTCTTGGAGTGTCGTCGAGAAGTATAGAGCAGTGGGAGGCAAATTATAATGAAAATCAATGTGCTAACCCTCTGAACACACCAATCATGGACCGCCCTCACTTGTTGGATTAAATCATGAAGGATGAGATCTACGAGCTGCTAGCTGCTAGCTGAAAACCCGTCTCTACTACTTAATGAGATCGGTAAATGGCTCGCCATATATCATGATCAGCCAATATCCACGCCAGCTCTTTACCGCAACCTCAGGGACTTTGGGCTCACCTACGAACACTTGAAGAGGATAGCAGCCGAACAAGATGACGGTTTCCGAGCTGATTGGTTGCACAACATGATAGCCAACTATACAGCTGAGCAGCTCGTGTTCCTGGACGAGTCAAGCAAAGATGACCGCACCATACTTCCTAGACATTGTTGGTCTCAGTGGACAAGTCCACTCTGACAGTGTCCGCTTAAACGGGGGCATTCGATACAGTGTGCCGCCAGCTCTCACTATTGATGGCTTTCTGACTGTCCGAGGCATTGAGGGATCTACTATAGACGGTGCGGAGTTCTACGATTTCGTTGTTAACGATGTAGAAAGTGCATTCTTTTCACTGTCTGAATTTTCGCTGATCGAATCTGCTGTAGTTGCCCAATATGAACTCTCGAGCCAAGACTTTCGGAATCGACTGGCGTCTGACTCTGACGCGACAATGTATATGAGTGATAACAGCAGCTTGGAGCCATCTTCCTCCGCTCCCAATGGGCCGATGTGCGCCAGACGTCCCAAGCGTAAAACTCGCCATACTGTCAAATCCAAGGAAGATGGTTCCGGTTCATCTCCCGCGCTAACCACCCGCAAGCGCAGATGCTTGGACGACGACGACGAAGAAGAAGAAGAAATCAGAGAGGGGAAGTTTGGTTTTTACAGACTAGCGGACGCCACTGCCGTAGCCATGGCTATGCCCGTTCATGACCCGAAGCCGGTAGATATCAGCAGCCGCAGAACTCATGATGCCCATGGTAATCTTCTTCGAATGAGGAGATTTGGGGCGATGGAACTCGACGATTCCTACTCCAAGCGGTCCGTCAAGATTACAAACGAACTACCCGCAGGGATGACTTGCATACGAGCATGCGGTTGGACGGACCAGCCTTGCGGGCTGTTTGTAGAAATGAACAAGGCCCGCATCGCATATCACCTGTTGCACTGGCACAGTGTCAAATCCACAGACACGGCTGCCTGCAAGTTCGAGGATTGCTCAAGATCAGAGGCGATGCTCAGTTTGGGCCGTCACATTGAGAGCGTCCACTATACTACGTCTTGCGAATGCCCTTATTGCGGAAAGCGGTGGTCGAGATCCGATTCTTTGGATCGGCATCAAGCGACATGTGGACCGCTCCTTGAAAGCAAGGCCCGCGCTAAGAAGGGACGTCGCAAGTTCACTCTCCAAGACCCGAAGAAGTTGGTCTACGGGTATATTTTACCTGCCCGCAACGCGACATAGTCTAGCGTACAACTGTACGTCCCCCTTGGCTCTCGAAGTCGAAATTACTAGGATTGCCTTGGTTCACGGCAGTCGACGTAGGTGTTGAGGAAGAAGCCATTTGAACAAACAAAGGCAACGCAGAGGGAAGCTGTACGAGAAGCATTGCATCTAGAAAGTCTGTCATTGGTCCTCTTCGTCGAGCTCGTACGTATTCTCAGTTGCGCTATCTCCTGAATATGCGTCGTTCTATCAGGTCCATACGTTTTTGATCGTCTCTTCAGCCAAGTCTGCGCGTTCGGTCTGCGACCAATGAGGCTCGATTATCCTGGATTTGACTGATGAATTCATGTCCGACCAGTGCCCAGTGCCCATTCGTTCATTAGTTGATTCTATTCACAGGCTCACCACCCACATGTACACTCCACGCGATCTCATTTCCGATGTCCTGGGTCGAAGGTGCTGTTTTGGGGAATTGATTTTGTAAGCAGACTCGAAGTTGAACGTTCCGTTGAGAACGTTGAAATCTGATTCTTGCGGCCTTCACGCATCTGATCACGCTGATCATATGGTGCAAAGCAAAAAAATTCAATCTTCCCAGGCGCGTGGCGTAGTGCGCTGAAGTCGATGTTCTTCTCGGCAGTCTGCTTCTTTATTGTCTGATGTCGCAAAAGTTATCCTGGACATCGAAAATCTCCTTAATGGACGATCCATTATCTGCCCTGTACAACTAAGGGAAATCGATTGTGGTGAAGCAAGTTGCTTCGTCAGAGCTCTCCACGCGCTGAGCATGATATTCTCGAATGTTAAGGATGAGACGCGGTCCTAGCACAAACATCTGCATGGCCTGGGCAACTTCGCCAATACCGTTATAAAAACCGACTGCCGCAGAAAAGTGCTTGAGCAATGGTGAGCAGTATACAGGTGATAGCGAACAGTCGGCTTACCGAGAGATTCTGAGACAGCGTGCCGAGGTTGAAGCAAGACACAGCGACAAAGCTAGCACATCCACGACTTCAGTGAGGCAATAATATCAAAATCGCTTGAACTCACACTACAAAGTATAGCATATGACCCCTCATTAAAACCATAAGACACTCTCTAATATTCGCCCCTGTCGGCGATTTTTGCAGTTCACGGAAGTGTTTGATAACAATCCAGACTGCAAGACACAAGGCAAGGATCTCCCATACAGTGGTGGGTACCGTAGTCTCGGTATTCAGACGTCCATCCTCTGCGGTCATATTTTCGAAACACTGATGGTTGCCAGAAAGGATCATCTCCACTAATATTTGTGCATGAGTTCTGAGGATTTCATTCGTGATTTGAGCTTACCTCCTGAAGCACCGATGTTCCCTATCACCGCCATAACCATGGAGGCAATCGTACAAGCCAGTAAGACCACAATGAGAAAGATGAGTATCCTCTTGGATCCTTGGTACATAGCATGTATCCGAGTTGCCATGATGACTTGCAAAAATTTCAGTCGTGTTAATATCACTAGGGGCCACACTCACCTCCCAGCATGGCATTAATTATCAGAGACGTCCATACCAACATGAACCACAGAATGTTGCCTGAAAACCCAGTCATTGGTGTGCGTTGTTTAAATAGATACTTCGAATCAACTCACAGCTGTTGAAGTTGTTGACTTGAAGATAAAAGCTGGCGAGATATCACTCACCCCTATGTAGGAGCGCAATTAGTAGTTGAATGGGAATGGCAGACAACGGCGAAGAATACCCACTGCATCTGTAATCGAGACTTGGAAATACACTGCATGCTATCAGTCAGAAGAAACGAACGTATACTATGAGCACACGTACACAGTATGTAGATGCTGGTTGTGAAAGATGGCTTGTTGGCGCAGTACACTGGCTAGTAGCGTTGAAAACATACATTGAAACGAGTATTCCACTGTAGCGAACCTAGCATATGGCAAAGTCAGCACAACTTGACAACTGCATTCATGATATCAAATACGCACGCAAACATAAAGAACAGTCATAAGAGAGCAGCGTTGCTTCTGCCCCAAATCGACTGTATTACCCCAGTGTTTGCTTCTGATATAGTATTTTGCTCACCAATATTAGTTCGAACTGTCGTTCAATCTTAGTGAGATGGCTGCACCGTGATGGTACCAACTTGCCTCTTGTGCAAACGTAAGTACTTGAAAGCATATTTAGACCAATGGTCTCCCTCTGAAGGCATTATCTTGCTCACCCCAATCATATATCACTATGGTCAAGGACGCAACTGCGAAACCACAGTCAATGACAATGAGATATCACTAACATCATGGGACGAACCTATAAAATAGTTGTACCTAAGACTCCATTCGAGATTAGGCCAATTAGAGGGACCGTTTGATATGTAGGTCATGCTGGGATCAAGGGACTTTAAATTTGTGTACGATGGCGTTTGTATACGTACAGGTGTATACTATCCAGCGCTTTTATAGTGAGATACAGCAATTACTGTTGTATAAAATCAACTAGAAAGGGAACATGTTTAAAGCTTATAAGCCGCATCTGATCAGTCGCGTACTTTTTTTTATCTGTAACGCGCATGCTCACGATGAAACAGACGGGTTTCCAAGCCATTATACGGCCGGCCTAGTCCGAGTCGGTGATGCAGAGAAAACTACAGAATTATATGCACGCGGACTGTAGTAAAGTACGAGTCCGAGTCATAGCCAAGTAGCCGATCGATCAACGCACGTTCTTTGTAGATCATGTTACGGCATTCCTAATTCGGATGTACTCCGTCATCTTCGCCAGTTCTATGATTGGGTTAACACTAACTGCCCCCCGGCATGCATGGTATCCGATGGAACCGAACCTCCCCAGCACGCGGTTTGGCCATCACGAACAGGTTTCAATTCACATTTAACACCGAACCGTACCTTGATTCATATCGAGTCCACCAATTAACCCACCGGCACATGTCCCAGTTTTGCTGTTGTGTCCTGTTTAAGCTTCGACGTTTCAACGGTGGCTCGCTATTTCCGACGCTCATGGTACATTGATTCATCTACTCCTCATCATTTCTCACGCAGGACTCATCTTGCGCGACAAGATTTATTTCAGCATTCTTCAAATTGTCTAGCCTATTCAGATGTTTGTGCTCAAGCCGTGTCTCAAGATCTGACCTTCGGAATTTCAGGATATCACGCTAAACTCGATCGTGGCTGGTTCTCATGGGGGTACTGGTATGAGTTCAATTGCTTTTTGCGAGCGCGGACAGGTCTCAATGGGCGACAGCCCGAGTGTGAAATGATCGGAGCAATCTGTTGTAGAGGATAGCATTTGTTCTGGGCAACCCAATCCACTACAAAGGCTTGTCACCAAATTAGTACTCACAGCCTGTGGTAACTTACCATGTGGTGCTCGATTTCAGGGCGTTCATTGGGGCCATGTGGGTGAGTCTAATATAGTCGTCCACGTTTCAATCTAACCTAAGTCGTCATATCAGAATGCATCCCAGACACTAAATATTACTGGTTACTCCCCCTTTCAGATATTGGACACTGGGACGGTTGCGGACCTCCAGCAACCTTCTGAAGCCACGAACATGGCAGGACCTCACCGAAACGCACCCAACAAATCCTCTGGCGTCTTCGAGCCCTTGAGCGCTGCTACACTGGGTTAAACACTGACCAGTAAACTCCACAACAGTCAATATCTCCTTTTGATCATCGTCGTCTAGAGAACGAGAATGAAAAGGCATGTCCCGTATAACGCCATGGAGTGTGTAATCTGAAGTCTGCAGCCACATTAGAGATGACCCAACACCACCCATCAATCCTGACTTACTTGTTGGATCGAAACCTTGTGGGTCCACAAGATAATACGGAGCTGTATCGCGTTGCGGACACACGAACAACTTTGACGAGAAAGAGGCAAGTCCTTCTATTTTGTGACTTGCTGCAAGATTGGAAACCTCGCTATCGAGGACTGAATGGATGGGGTGCTTGTTTTCATGTCCGCATGTGTGAAATTCTTACACAAAGTCAGTATTTATAACAAGATGAACGAATACGCACCACCATAATGAAGGTTATGAACATCGTCATCCAAGACAGCCATTTTCATAATATATACATTGCAAACCAGCTCGAA